TTCAGAATGTCAAAAAAATGTGTTTGTATTGATTTCAGTGTCTTAAAATCTTGCATATTGTATCGTTAATTGTTGATTGTTGTTCAACTGTCACATATCGTGGGTGACCGCTTGAAACCTCATATATGCCATATTTGGTCATTTTCACTTTTTTTTTGTTTTCGCATCTAATGGTGGGACACTCGTATTTCTAGCTCGATTATAAATAACCTAATGTAGCAGGTGGCATATTAAATGTACTGTAATTTGATACGCACCGGAAGTTGGAGTTTGCGGATTATTTTGTACGTTTCATCAATCGAGTGTGGATTCGACCAATGAATTGACTTTAGTATTGCACGGGATTTTCGTGGGCAAACACTATAAAACGCTCAATTGTATCTTATTACAGGCAGTTGGTCGGTAGACGGCTCAGGGTAAGCATGTTCGTTCTGTGGGAGTTATAACACTCAGCTCAAAGAGTTGGCTCTTACCTTAGTCAGACGATCTGGCTGTTTGATTTGGGGTTGTGGTTGCCTTGGGTCGGTTTGGTTTCCAGTCAAATCTGAATCAGGGAACATAACGCTCGTTCAGATAGACTGATCTAAAACGGGGACTTTGGTCTTGAATCAGGGGTTTTGAATGTTTGTGTAAATGTGTTGTTTGAAATTCGTTCTGTGATGTCTTGTCTTGAGTTAATAAATGTGTTTTTGTTTAATTATTTATTACTTCCTATTGAGATCACAGTATCCTGAAAGAACCAGGAACTCTTGGTGTATTGAGACACGATAGGATTGATGTTTGGGTTGGGGGTTTTTGGTCTGAAATAACTGCCCTAGATTTCCTCCTTCTACAGAATTTTTGGCAAGCTTGCCAGGACACTGTGAATTTCTCTAGAGGAAGTGTAGTTTCGGTAGGATATGGTAGTGTTTATTGTAGTGTTTGCTTTAAGGATTTAGTGTACATTTAGTTAAAACATGGAAAAAGGCTTTAAGTTTCCCACTCACGGTAGTAATGAGGAAGGTAGGGTCGAAATTAACACACAGTCGGAAGTGCCTTCTCGGAATGCTGATTTGGCAGATTTTGATTCTGGTAGGGAGAGGTCTGGGACAGAGTATAAGGGTCTATTTACAGGATTTGATAGTGACGAGGAAACTCTATGCCAGAGAAATATAGGCTTACCTGTCGGGTCTTATGTTCCGTTAACCCCTCGTTTCAAACCAGGCAGATTCTCGCATACATCTGCACCCAGAACATATACTGACACAGGGTTCGGTAATACTCAACCAAATATGTCATCTCTTCATCGCACTGTTCACAGGCAAATTGCAAGGAAGGAAAAAGAGCCTGATAAGTTTGACTGTCAGCATACTGAGTGGTCTGAGTTTATCATGCAGTTTGAGAGGGTGGCAAATTGGAATATGTGGGATCCCTATGAAAAAGCCCAGCAGCTTATAATGTGCTTAAGTGGTCCTGCTTTGAAGTTGTTAAGTACTTTGAGTTCATCCCAGCTTGATAGTTATGAAGAGGTTAAGTTGGCTTTGACTAATAGGTTTAACCCAGGAGAGAGACTTGCGGCTCATCAAATTGAGTTCAGAAATAGAAGGCGACGTGGTAGCGAGTCACTGTCTCACTTTGGTTACGATTTACAGCGGTTAGCTTTTAAGGCTTTCCCTCATTCGTATCCTGAGAGTTTAGAATATCATATTGTTGATCAGTACATATATGGTTTAGGTAATCATGAGTTAGAAAAACATGTTGTCTCATCCTCAAAATGTTAATCAAGCAATTTCGGCTGCAATTGAGTATAAAGCTATTGAGTGGCCACGGGACAGATTTCGTAATCAAAATTTTGATAGGTATGATAGAGAGTTTCAGGATCAAAGGATAGGTGGTGTTAGGAGGAATAGGTTTGAGGATGAGGGGTATCTTAGACATGAAGAGGGATATAGGGTTATAGGTCAAATGTAGGGGCTACTGAATTTTATAGACCTTGCCTGTCACAAACTGCAAGGGAAATAGAACCGATTTCTCGAGTTCGTTGCTATCATTGTGGTAATACAGGACATATTAAGCCTAATTGCCCTCAACTTAAGGTGCCACATAGGGACGAGAGAAAGGATGTTCTTGATGCCTCATCAGTAATGCAAATTAAGGGGAAACAGAATGATGATGTGGAGGTGGTTCTATCGGAGGTAATGAGTCATAGGGCTTCTGAAACGGAAGGGGCCAGCGGCCAAGTACACGACTTGGATGTAAAGTTTGGGAAGATTGAGGAGGGTGATGACTGTAATGAAGAAAGTCAACAATCTAGAGTTGTCGAACGTTTCGTTGCTCCATGTTGTTATGTGCCAATGAAAGTGTGTGGCGTAGGGGAAAGGCATCTGTTATTGGACATAGGGTCAACTTTTTTGTTGATGTCATTTGTTGATTTTCTTAAAATATCGAACAAAGATAGGCCTAAGTTATATGATATTAATTCTGCCCTTCATTATGCTGATGGTCGACCCATACATCCTTTAGAACTAATACATTTGGAATTCAAATTATGTGATATACCCTTTAAACATAATTTCTTGGTGGTCGATATGCCCTTAAATGGAATTTTAGGCATGGATTTTGTATTGAGGAATAAGAGCAATTTGAATTTTGATAAAATGACCATGTCTTCAGGAAAAGGCAGCATAGCCCTTTCTCCCAGGACTGGTGTTTTGACATGTGCACATATGAATACAATGGAAATGGTAACCATTCTTGCGAGATCCGAGAAGGTGGTTATGTTTGTTGCTGATAGGATATGCTGTTAGAACCAAACGATTATATATTGAACCAAAAATTGCTATTGGCACGTTCTTTGATTGATTGTAAAGATTTAACAACTTGTATTTTGAACATGAATGATAGGGATATAGAGATTCCTGTTGGTACTACAATAGGTAGGGTGGAGAGTGTTAATGAAGTGAATAGTGTACCTAACGGGATGCCTCGAAATCCTCCGCAGTACCAGAACACTTGCAGTCTTTGGTTCAAGAGGCTTCTAAGAATTTGAGTGAGTCTAAAGCTGTTTCTGTTTCAGGTCAAGATAGGAAGTCAGTTTTCAAATGAGCAAGGGAATATGTGTAATGTTATTGAAGGTGAAGGTGTTGTACCAGATCCAAATTGGCTTCCTCTCTATAATGATACGGAGATCAAAACGTTACAAAAAAATGATATTGCAATAGGGCAAATCTATCAAAGTCTGCATCAATCGGGTAAAAGGCCAGAATCTGGAGAGTTGACTTCTCTGTCCAAGGGGTCCAGGCTGTTGGCATCACACGGGGAGAAGCTTGTTTTGAGGCTAACAGAGTGAGAAAAAAAAGACCCTGTTAACAAGATAGAAACGAAGTGTGATATGAAGAAAAGTATCATCATGATGAAGATTATAATGATGAAAAAGATGATGATAATGATGAAAAAGATGATGATGAAGATGATCATGTTGATGAAAAAGATAAGTTGGATCAAACTTGCAATGAAGAAGATAAAGAGGAAGATGATAATGATCATGATTATAATCATGGAGATAAATATGAAGAAGAGGGAGATGACGATGATCATGATGAAAAAGATAAGAATGATGATCATGGTGATGATGAAGATAGAGATAAATATGGAGAGGGAAATCACCAAGATAATGAAGACCAAGGAAAAACAGTGAAAAAAGAAGAAACATGTATGCAAAGCGTGACATAAACTACAACAAAATTTATTATAGAAAAGTACTCAAATGCAAGTTTGGTAGAAATGGAAAGAGAAAAAAAACAAACAGTATGGACCCGGGCACATGCCTGCAAATTTTGTGGGTTGATAAAGACTAATATTTCAAAACATTTAAGAAAACACAAAAACCAGATAGAAATGAAAGATCTATATTATATGATAAGCAGCCTTGGTAAAAAACATAAGACATGTGAAAGCAAAGTGGGACTTGCTTCGAAGTGAGGGAGATCATAAGCATAACTTAAAAGTACTGCAAGAAGGTGAAGGGGAAATTGTTTTGGCCAGGCATTCACACGAACAACTTGATATTTCCGAGTATGGACCTTGTCCAGGGTGTTTTGTATGGCTGAAAATCAGAAACACCCTTGTTACCCACCGAAAGAATTGTCCGGCGAATGTTTTATGTGGTAATAAAATTATCAAATTGACCAAAAAAGAACTCCCATGTTAGAAGCTTAGAAGCCACAAATACACTGAGTTCGGTTGCTAGTAGAGCACTAAAACAAGAAGTATTCACTATAATGACAAAATCACAAAATCTGACTCTTTGATCATTTGCTTAGGCAATTAGTGGCTGTTAAAAAAGTTTGGTAACCGTTTAAAGAGAAAATACTATGCCTCTGCTAGAATGAGAGATGCAGCTAGATATCTTATTCACGTGAGAAAACGAGACTGGGTGTTCAAAACATAGTATGGAGGAGTTTCTTAGACCTGGTTAGATGTGATCTGTTAACTGCTTTGCCTGCCTCAACTTGATGATGAAGAAGATTTGAAAACTCCATCCACAGCTTTGAAAATAAGTTATGACTTAAAACGCATGATTGCTGCCAAATGGCAGAAGCTATAAAAACTCAAAATCCTGAGAAGGTATCTCAGTGCAAAGATTTATTTAAATTGATAAAATTTGAATGGTCAATTAAGGTGAGGAAACTAGCAACCACAACATTATCATACCGAAGATTCAACAAAGAACACAGCTTACCAGAAGCAGACGACCTGGTAAAATTACAACAACACATCAAAGGAGAAATTAAGCAACTAAACTTAAAAGATTCACGTTATTTGAATTACAGAAGAGTTGGGGTTCTAGCAGAAACAAGAATACTTTTGTTCAACAAACGCAGATCTGGTAAAGTGGAGGGAATGAGGTAAGATGAAACTTATAATATAAAAGTGTTGACAAATCCATGAAAACATTGTTTTGCCGACCTTTCAAATGATATTGACCTGTTAATCAGTTCAAATAAAAAGCTGTTTAACTAATATTAAAAAATCAATGCGAGAAGGATTAACTGCACTAGAAAATTATCTACTGACAAGTCAAGACTTAATTGAAATCCATGGTAAGGTAAGGAGTTGATTGAAGTTGAATACATTTTAAATTTATATATTTAGATAACACTGGCAGTATTTGTTGTCTAAGTTGTTTAGCTGACCTAGTGGTTGTCTTGATCCCAGATTAAAGAATATGTGGCCTGGAGATATGGGAACATTAATGTGTCAATATTTATTTATTGTGAAATACATGTATTTCAGCTCAGATATCAAATAGATGTACATTTAAGTCGAGACGTATTGTCATCTGTAATGAAGCCTGTCAAATGCAGTGAATGATGAATATAATCTGATATAAATCTAATTTCGAAGCCAATGCAATGATAGCCTATATTTGCTCTCTAAAGCAGCCTATGTTAGAGATAAAAGTAAATGGAGAACATAACTACCCCAAAGTTGACATCAAAATATGGACTTTATCCAAAAATTGTCAAAATCCATCAATTCTACGCAAATATGTTAGCATTCAAACATTATCACTGTTGTTTACATTTCAATATCGGGAAAGGACGATGTTTTTTTGATCGAGACTGGATGATCTCATCTATATGTAATTTTTCCTCTTTGTCACAACTATCAAGCTTTATGATGACGTCATCGCCTGTTAGCATTTGTTATCTTTTACATTGTGGCTTCAACATAACTTATGGTATTTTTTTTTATGAATAGATCAAATTTTTTTCAGAATGGTAATGGTGTACCTGTCATTGTGCCAAGTGATACGAAGGCCCTGTTAAAGTATTTAGCTATTGCAGAAAACAGATCCAATGCTGTGATATACGATTCCAATTGATATTTGTTTCCCAATGCCAGTAAGAACTTTTTTAAAATTCACTTAGAATTTGCGAAATCTGCTTGTGTTGATGTGGCTATAATTATTTTGTTTTACGATGGCATAGTAAATAAAAGTAGTAGCCACATGGCATTGGAATATGTTCCCACGGTGTTTACCAATCACATTGCTTCAGGGATTCATGACACATGCTAAGGTACACACAAAAACTCTAGTCATGAATTTCTTTGGCCCACTCATTTTCTTGTTACATTAGGTGCCACTGATTTTGCACAATTTTGAAATCGACCATGCTGCGTTAAAAATACAAACCATTTTGCTCTAACACAAGTCCATTCAAACCAAAATTGTGCTATTGACCAATCAATACTTCATAATTTCATTCATTAACTTATTGTATTTACATATTTAACAGAACATGGTGTATTAAAGAGCTTAAGACAGCCTAAAATCATTATGCAAAGAAATTGAATTGTCAAAATTACAAGGTCAACATGCGCAAATATACAGCTACAATTTCTCAAGTAAGAATAAGATCTTATTGTATAATGTCATTTATATTAAAGGCTCTATACTGCAAATATTTTGGCCTGAAGAACATAATTAATCTAAAGTTGACATTGACATTGTCCAAAACAAATTTCAGTATCGGAATCGACGAGGGATTCACGAGTGAGACTTAATGAATTCACCTATATGTATTGTACACTTCATCTCAGCTATTGAAGTTTTGCGCTCTTTGTATCTTGTAGAATCCGACTGAATCGGTCTGGCAATCGTTGTACGTTCTTCGAGTTGTCATGATGATTATTCGTGATGTAAATAACAGGGTCACAATCATCAGAGTTTGCTATGCTATGTATGGCTGACATCATCGCATCACCTCGCCTATAATCCAAGTTAAGGAGCGATCGATTCACTTTTTAGAAGTTGGATTAAAAATAAATTATCTGTGGATGCTGCAATTTTCAGAAGGAGTTGTCACCCAGTGAAACACAAACATTTTGGATATGATTGCTATTGTTATGCTCATACTAACAAAAACAAGTAAATTATTACAAGTATTCATATGTATAGTATAGAGTAAACAAATTTATTTTGCAGATTTTCGATCTGAATCCAATTCAGCATTAATGGTTACTAAACCACTTGGGGCATTCTATGGATGTACATTAAATACATTAAAGACAAACGTCTGGTTTGATTGAAAGAATTGACATGGCAAAGCTGATGCTTATGCAAGAGTTTAATCTTACTTCAAGGTATGCAGGAAAGAAACTGCAAGAAATTCAGATGGATGGCAAGTATTTCTATATCATTTCTACCACATTTAGAACATGAAATGCATTTTATGAATATCATAATGTTAACTGATGAAACTAAAGATCATGAACATCTTCCAGGAAGAACCATTGACTGTATTCATTCAAAAACACCTTTGTCTGAAATAGTAAATTTTAAAATAATGCGGATTAAGACTTTCAAGTGCTGGTTTTTCATCGATTGTATGACCAGTTAAAACTGGGTGCACATGTTTAACAATTCATGACAACTAGGTTAATTTGTGAATGCTTCAGCAGAATCAAGATAATTATAATAATCTTGTATATCATTTAGAAATAGAAATAGTATTTAATCACACAGTAGATGATTGTGATGGTAAGCATTTTTCTATATTCTCTTGAACAAAAAAAAGTGTTTAGAACATACAAACCCTCTTCATTAATATGGACAAGAAGTGAGTGTGGCATTTCCAGGGTTCAGCAAAAACTATGAGATGATCCCACATAATTATGTGATATCAGAGTGCTCACACTAACAAGCTAGTGAGCTACGCATACACGCTAGCGGCAATGGTACACCCCAGATAGAGTGCTCAACAAGGCATGAATCAAGGAGCATATCTAACTGCAAATTGTACTGTTTCGGCCTTCTGGGCCTCATCAGTCCAGTGCTGATACTGGAGTTGAGGTTTGGCTATAAAGCCACCTCAGATGATCCCACATTATTATGTGATGTCATCGCAGAGTGCTCAAACTAGCAAGCTAGTGAGCTACGCATACACGCTAGCGACACATATATATTTATTTGCTGAATTAGCTGTTAATTACTTTTTTCAAAATTCAAGTACAGAGCACAGATAACAATCAATCATATACCATAATAATATTTGTATTAAAGAGATGATAGAGACCATTTGTATTGTAAATTAATAGAAATTTAAATATGATAATTGGTGTAAGATAAAGCAAATTGTTACTTTTGATTCGAAGTAACTCTTATCAAATGAAATATGACAATGTTAATTTTGAAAAAATTTATGTCTTCATTTTGTAGTATCGACACAAGATTTGACAGAGGCTTTGGATCTTGATAATGATACCTGCTATTAAAGATGGTAAGTTTTTACAAGTTTTTCTTTCATGGTTGATATAAAGAGTTGTCTAAACAATTTAAATTCCTCAAAAAACAAATTTATTGATTCTAGATAAAAATCATTGAAACAGCCAAAACCGAAAAGAGTGAATATAAAAAGCTAATCATTTTCATTTAAAATCAGCCCTAATAGATCTCTCCCATCGGCACATACATGTACATGTATACGGAGCATAACTTTGTTACTATTTAAGATAAGTGAATGAAACTTGGCATATGTATCAATCATAAGAAGACAGTGTGTTGCATACAAAATTTGGAGTATGTGACCCTTTATTTGAGGGGTTAACGCCATTTTTTAAATAATTTTGCCATTTGTTTTAGTAAAACTGGAACAGGAAGTCTTTAATTTTTATTCTTATTATTATTGTTGTTGTTATTTTTAAGCTGGTAAGGATGAATTCAGTTTCACTGATGAAGATGACGATTATGATAATAGAACCAAAAAAACACAGAGTAAAAATGGTAATTTTCATTTTTATGTACAGTCAAATCTATATATATTGAACACTAGTGTTGAAACGGTTAATCAGTTAACCGATTTCAGGTAGTATTTCACAGGTAACCAGGTCTGATTTGAGATTATCTGTTAACCAAGAAGTAAAAAGAGAGCAATTTTGACAGAATATTCGTCACTGTACGAGTCTTTAAGCTGTTTTCTTTAGTAAATAAACATCTTTATTGATTGAATAATTGAGATTAATAAATCAAGATAGGGTTTCAATTATCAAAACACTAACGAGTTGCAAGAAATGTGGTCAAGATTATCTAGCCTCTTTTTTGATATAAGTTCAACTAATTACTCGTTCTGGATAATAGTGTCACGGTGGTCTTAGTTTGTCGACATTCGCCGTGTGCACCGTTATGTTAATTAGGTTAAACAAATAAACTGTATTGCGGAAATGTAACACAGTGTTTTTTAAGCATGTTCTAGTGTTTTAATAAGTTTTGCTATTAATTTTATTATTTCAATTGGGTACGAGTTGCTTAGAATAAAACTGTTATAAAGATCGTTTTACTTTTTAGTAACTCTCCTTTAATTGGTTCTTCTTTCCTGTCTGTAAGGATATTGGTCTTACATAAAGGTTATACTGTACCATTAGTACAGAACACAATAATTATGTTATATGTGAAACAGAGTTATGTCCCTTTACCTATGTGACGTCATCAGACGAGACTCCATCTTATATGATTATTAATTTTATATAAAACACGTGAATAAACTTTATGTCTTTTAAACAGACTTGAGTTATATTAATAAACATCACATGGTGTCAGAAGTGGTCTAGTCCACATTAGTGATCAACATGGCTTCTATTTATGACCTTCCAATACCTAAAAAGTTGGATTTGTCTGGAAATAAAAGTGAAAATTGGAGAAGATATTTGCAAGCATATAATTTATATATAACGTCAACCGGAAAGGACTCCAAATCACAGAAGATTCAATGTGCTACGTTCTCACTTGCAGGAGAAGATGCTATTGAAGTTTACAATACTTTTACTTTTACCAGAGATGAAATAGACAAGATAGAGCCATTGGTTGAGAAATTTGAAACCTTTTGCAATCCAAAAACTCATCATACCATTGAGAGACATGAATTCTTTGAAAGGAAGCAGAAACCAGATGAAACATTTGACCAGTTTTTGATAGAACTAAAAAGATTAGCAAAAGATTGTGGATTAGGGGAATTAAGAGATGGATTTATTGTTGATAGAATCATAGCAGGAATCACAGATGATAAATTAAGAAGAAAATTATTAACAGAAGATGTTAATTTAGATAGATGTATAGATTTATGTAGAATAGCTGAGACAACTGCTAAACATATGAAGAAGTTTTCAGAGAAAACAGAAAGTGAATCTGATATACATGCAGTGCAGAAATCTAAGAATAGATACAGAAGACCATACAGACCACCTACAAAACCTAGTGATAACTATATGCCTAGTCAAGATAGTAGAAGAAAATGTTCAGCATGTGGTTACCCTGAGCATAGAAATATGTCTATGTGTCCAGCCAAAGGTCAGAAATGTCATAGCTGTAATAGATTTAATCATTTTAAGAAGATGTGCAGATCAAGAGATAGTCATGACAGTGTCAGTAATAACCAAAATGGTAGAAATTATGATAGACAGAATTCTTCAAGATACAGAGATAATAATAAGAAGATAGTATACACTATAGAACATGGTGAAGAAGAAGAAGAATTTTTCATTGATACAGTATTGAATCAAACAGTCACAGATAAAGATGCTTGGACAGTTCCAATAACTATTAATAAAGTGATTATTCCACTGAAATTAGACTCAGGATCAGATGGTAATTTGTTGGCAAAGAAAGACTTTGATAAACTTATTAAGAAACCTAAATTGAAAAGATGTAGTGTGCAACTTAAAGCTTATAACAATACTAACATTCCTGTGATAGGTCAATGTATTTTGGATGTTGAATATAAGTCTCATATATTCAAGACATTGTTTTATATTTGTAATGGTGATGTAAAACCTATTTTAGGAAGAAAATCTTGTGAACAGATTGGTTTAGTTAAACTTGTGTATATGGTAGATAATAAGAAGTCAGCTGATAAATTCTTTGAAGAATTTGAAGATTTATTTAAAGGTCAAGGTTGTTTGCCAGGTCATGTCAATATAAAACTAAAAGAAGGAGCACAACCAGCATGAAGCATGTAGAGCAGTTCCATTTGCTATACAAGATATTTTACAAGAAGAACTTGATAGAATGGAGAAGAATGATATTATAGCCAGTGTAGAAGAACCAACAGATTGGGTGAATAGTTTGTGTGTAGTCTATAAAAGTAATGGTAAAATCAGAATATGTTTAGACCCCAGAAATCTGAATAAAGAAATTTGTCGAGAACATTACAAACTACCGACTCGTGAAGAAATCACTAGTAGATTCGCTAATGCAGCGGTTTTGTCAAAATTGGATGCTTCAAATGGATTTTGGCAATTAAAGCTTAATGAAGAAAGTTCATATTTGTGTACTTTTAATACCCCTTTTGGTCGTTACAGATTTAAGCGACTTCCATTTGGTATAAGTTCAGCGCCAGAAATCTATCATAGAACAATTCATCAATTATTTGAACATATGCCAGGAGTAGATACTTCTATGGATGACATTATTATTTGGGGATCGAATGAAGAGGAACATGATTATCGTCTAAAACAAGTGTTATTAAAAGCTCGTGAAGTAGGTTTAAAGTTAAACAAAGATAAATGTGAAATAGGTGTTTCAGAATTAGTGTTCTTAGGTGATATAGTTTCAAAAGACGGTTTAAAACCTGATAAGGTAAAGTTAGTGCTATTAATGATATGGAAATTCTAAAATGTAAACAAGATTTGCAAAGATTTCTTGGTATGATTAACTATTTGGCAAGATTCTTACCAGACTTGTCAGAAGACATCTACATTAAGAACTTTACTAGATAAAAGAAATATTAGGGATTGGACTCCTAATCATCAAAAGTCATTTGAAGAACTGAAATTATTAGTTTCTAGTGATCCTATTTTGAAATTTTATGATCCATGTAAGCCTATTAAAATATCAACTGATGCAAGTATGAAAGGAATAGGTTGTGTATTACAACAAAAACATGATAATGATTGGTTTATTATAGCATATGGTTCTAGAGCAATCACTGAAACTGAAAGTAGATATGCATCAATTGAGCGTGAAACTTTAGCTTTGACATATGCATGTGAAAGATTTCACCAGTATGTTTATGGTCAAACATTTGAAATAGAAACAGATCATAAACCTCTGATAGCTAAGATTAAGGTTACAAAAGTATGATTTTAGATTAACTTATGTACCAGGTAAATATATGTATATTTCTGATATGTTATCAAGAGCCCCTACTATTCATTGTAATCAAACATGTAAATTCTTATGTATGTGGTGTATTAGAATCATTACCTATATCTGATAGAAAATTAGATGAGATTAAGAATGAGACTGTCAAAGATGTAACATTATGTTCATTAAAAGAAGTTATATTAAAAGGTTGGCCTAACTCTAAATCAGATTGTAGAAAAGAGTTATTAACTTATTGGAGCAAGACAAGTTATGTTTTGGCCTAATATTAATAATGACATAACAGACATGGTCAAGCATTGTGAAAGTTGTCAAAAATATCAACGAAAGCAAACATCAGAACCATTAATGAGTTATAAATTAGCAAAGCGTCCTTGGGAGAAAGTTTCTACTGATTTATTTGAACTTGATAAGAAATATTATATTGTTATTGTTGATTCTTATAGTAATTATCCAGAAGTTATTCAATTATCTAGTCAGACAACAAAATGTGTAATAAGTGTTTTAAAAAGTGTATTTGCTAGACTTTGCATACCTTCAGAATTACTGAGTGATAATGGTCCATGCTTTAATAGTGTTGAATTTGTATCATTTGCTAAAAGTTGGGATTTTCAACATGTTACTAGTAGTCCTAGATACCCTCAGTCAAATGGGTTAGCAGAGAAAACTGTTCAAACTATAAAATTAATTTATATGAAATGTTTTGAAAGTAATGAAGATGTTGAAATGGGTTTATTAGCTTACAGAACTACCCCACTAAAACATATTGAACTATCTCCATCAGAATTATTGATGAATAGAAATTTACGTACTAATCTTCCCATTAAAACAGATTTATTAAATGTACCCAATTCTAAAAATGTTGTTAAGAAAAGAGAAGAGTTAAGAGAAAATCAAAAGTTATACTATGATAAAAATTCAACTAGAAGTTTACGGTCACTTGAACCAGGAAATATTGTTAGAGTTATTAATTGTAATAATAATACTTGGTCAAACAAAGGTACTATAATTAGATTAGTAGCCCCTAGATCTTATCTTGTGAAATTAGATAATGATGTATTATTTCGCAGAAATCGAAAAGATTTATTATTGATACCAAACTCAATGCATAACATTAGTAATGAAAATGAAGATATTAGTCACACTGATATTCATACCTTGGATAGACCTAAGAGGCATACTCGTCCACCAGATAGATTATTAGAAAATTGTTAATTGTCAGTATTCATTCATTTGTTCTAAAAGTGCCTTAAACGAAAATTGTTTAAGTTATTTCTTATTTGTGAAAAGGGAGATGTAAGGATATTGGTCTTACATAAAGGTTATACTGTACCATTAGTACAGAACACAATAATTATGTTATATGTGAAACAGAGTTATGTCCCTTTACCTATGTGACGTCATCAGACGAGACTCCATCTTATATGATTATTAATTTTATATAAAACACGTGAATAAACTTTATGTCTTTTAAACAGACTTGAGTTATATTAATAAACATCACACTGTCAATCAGCTTCAAGCTTATTAATATTCATGAGTACAGATTACAGATTCATTGAGACAATAGTTTTATATCAGGCCTGCTCGTAATCTTATAGTCTGCTTATAAAAATAATGAAAATTGTTGGTTAAGCCACTTTCTTTTATTTTCAGGAAAGCATTCCAGATAAATGTACTAAATTGGCCTTAACTGGGGCTGGACTCGGTGGAAAAAAAATATTGTTTGATAAGAATGATGATGATGAAAAATATTTTCATTCCATTCTGATTTCTACTTTCCCAAAACTTAAATATGCTAGTTGGTTTGAGCTGATGAGGTCCTTAAACTGAACCTTCCTAGAAATATTACCAGCATCAAGGAATGGCTATACCACGAAAACATCTAGCTTTTGATAACTGCATAGGTCAGGCTATATGTATAAGACCTCTACAGAATAATCTACAGGATATGTCTCATGTGGATGATGAAGAATCAAAGGTAAAATATTATCCTTATTGGAATGATATACAAAAGGCTTAAAGTGTATGTATTAAAATACGATATTATATTATCTGTCTTTACTCATTGTCCACTGTAAATCCAGTATGCTTACTCTTTCTTAATCTTTGGTGCTTGTTCTATTCAGATCTTGAAGAGGATTATTTTTGTAAATATATTTTTTGGTTTCCATTATATTTATAGCCTTCAGAAGATTGTGTCAAAGAAAGGTGTTTGATATGCATGACAGATATACCGGTAACTATCCTCCTTAAACATTTGGATACACATAAGGTTTGTAAATAAATAATTCATATGAAGCAATTTAATATGGTCATCTATTTAAAATAGATATACCCCACCTAAAAAAATAATCTTAAAGGTCATAGGAAATGAAATTTTTAAAAACGTCAATTTTGCTGTTTTTATGAAGTTTTTTATATCAAAAATAAAATGTAAAAGAAATTATATTTTTGTTCACTCCCGTTCAAGAGATATTAGCCGTAGAAGTGGGATATTGTCTTCACTTGCTCTAATCTGATCTCGCTTATTGTGACGTCAGGTCGGAACATCGTGTCAGAATAACGTTCCTGCCATATTGGATATTCCTATTGCTTGCTTATTTTGATAAGTCGTATTGGTAAAAAATATAAGATGGTTTTATGTGCTGCCTTCCGTCAGATCCGAATTTGTGTAAACGTTGGGTGATCAATTTAAAGAGAGCTGGCTTCGAACCTAATGAGAATTCCAGATTGTGCATGACTCACTTCGAAAAAGACCAGTTCGCGATGGACCTTGAGATTGCAAAATCCGTTGGCTACAAGATCTTACCTTTGAAAACTGATGCTATTCCAACCATTTTTTATTTCTCAAAAGTAACCAAGAAGAGAAAAAATTAACTGACTGGTCTGTAGCAGATCTATCAACAACAAAGATGAAGAGGCAATCGAAGGCTGTGGTTAAAAGTTGAGCACTTTCGGTAAGTAGCCAAGGCCTACTTTTTAAATGTTTTTCGCTGTGTATCGATAACTATAGATATAGGCGATAAGAAATTTCAATATCGATTATCGCAAATTTTATGAAAATTCCGCGAAATCTGTAATATTACTCTGATCGGTAGGCCTGTCATAATAATACTATTTGTCTCCGCTATATTGTTGTCTTGGACGAGGAGCGTGCTTTATTGTCTCCCTTAATTTGTTTTTGTTCTGTTACGTATATGATGATTGGATAATCACTGTGGTTTATAAATAGAAGACTAATCATATTTCGTATAACGATAGTGCTCGGTTGGTTGGTTGTCAAACTCATGTATAAGTCAGCTTCAAGTCAATTATCTCGACAAATCATCGGTAAAGTCATGTAAAGAAAAAAAAAGGATTATTTATTTCTTCTACTAAAATACATATAAACTTCAATCTTATATGAACACCTCACCGCTTCACTCTTTAGATCTCAAGATAGTTTTGCAATGTATTTTTTTCATATTTTCAGACACTAAAATCTCTAACAAAATCTGAATGTAGGTCAACTGCCACTGATGTAGAGGAAATTGAAAATGAGCCTCCAGTATCAAATATTGCAATACAGTCAAGTGTATTTAGTGCCAGTATGCAAGATGACGAGACAGCTTCACGCTTGCATACATTTACACAGACTCCAAAAAACCTCACTGTAAGAACTTATTTTTTTTGCAATTATCTGCTTGTACATCTGGTCAAATCAGGATGTCTGATTATGATGTCACAATCAGTACCGGTATTTTACATGTCTTGAAATGACAGTAGCAGGGAAAAACCCATGACCTGCAATTCTTAACATGGCTTATACATTAATGGGGCAATATTGTGTGGTGCAAAGTAATTAAGATGTTGCATTTAGCCTGTAATAAATACAGTTGTACAGTTTATGTATTATGGAATATTAATGTGTTTTAGCCCAGAAGAAATGTTGGTATACAGACAGACATATTATTAGAAGAATCCCATCTCAAACCAACTACATGGGAGATTGAAACACAGACTGATTTGGTATTATGTGACATAGAAGAAGCAGATGATCTCAACTGTAGTTTTATTTCTAATTCATCTGATCCTGATTGGACTCCATTGGTGGAAAAGCAAGAATTGAACCAACTCAACCAGCTGAAGAAAGAAAATTTGTAGTTTTTGAATCTTCTATTGATTCCTTATTTAAACTTTGTAAATTTTGTGCAACACCAAATATTGTCAACAAAATCATAAGAGGTTCAATGTTAGTTGTGAACATTGATTGCACAACATGTGGTTATTCACACTCTTGGGAAAGCCAGCCACAACTGAACAACATGCCGATTGGAAATTTACTTATTGCAGGTGCAATCATGTTTTCTGGTAGAAGCCCTGTATAGACCTAAACTATGTTTAGCCATGCTGGAATTGAAATGTCTTTGTTACAGCACATGCTGGCAAAACACCTGTTTCTCTTTCCTAAAATTTGCCAAATCCATCTTAAAAACCGACTGTATGCTATATACCTGTAAACTCTGGGGAAAAAAAACAATTTTGTTTAGAAAATTTCACTAAATAATAGTACAAATATAATTGTTTTGGAAGAACATGTTTACCAACAAATAGTTTAGATTGAGAGCAAGTGCAAGCGGTTATATTATAGTATGAATGATGAAATTATTAATTATATTGAAATGATAAAAACACTTCAGTGCAATAGTGTAATTAAAAATACGATCATACTCGTGTAAAAGTTCTTTTTCACCAAGTGGTCAGTTATCTTGGATGTATTCGTAATATGATGTCTCTAAAACATACGGGTTGGGGCAGTTTGCTTCAAATCCTTCATGGAAGGTAATACATAGCAAGATTAGTTTTTCATTAACTTCATTTATTTTACTCGAAAATTCGAGTTAGAAAGAAATCTTGCCAACGAGTTGTTTAAAAAAAAATAAATATATAAGATCGGCTGATAAATACCATTCGTCAAAAGGGACGCCATTAGCACTAGCTTGGGTTTCGTCGGAGTCGCTAGGCCTATCAGTATCACTTCCCGAATCCGAGGAATTTTCTCGATCTTGAGTCAAGGGTTCATACATATAAGGTTGGACTCTTATATTTAGATTTATCTCCGGTATTTCTCAGAGTTCTTCGTCAAAATCGAAGGGAGATACCATCTCGATAAGGTTGAATATATGATGTTACTTCGTCAAGGTTAAGCACCTTGTTCCGACCTGACGTCACAATAAAGGGACGTAATCACGATAGACATATTAAAAAAGCCAGATATCAAATGCGTATTGCAAAGTTACTGATGAAAATTTTTGTGGGACTTTGCTACTGCAAGGTTATCGAAATGTCAATTCTTTTTTTTTTTTTTTCATTTTTTCGATTTTTACACACCTTCCTCAGCTTAGACTACAATTGTTGCAGCAACCATTCAACATTCACGAACCTTAGATATAGGCGACGATGTGCATAAATATATTTTGGATCTTTTTTGCAAAACCGGAAGTGCCACAGTTCAATATGTGCAAGAATAGATAATCGGCTCCAGAAGTCGTATTTTTCGGCCGATTTTCTTTGGGTTTGCATTTTTGGAATCTACTGGCAAAATCTGTACAAATAGCAGTTTCAAAATTTCAAAATTCGAAAATTTGTCCAGACATTTTTTTTGCCAAATTTTGCATTTTATTCATTTTTTTTGCTTTTTGTCTGATTAATCTGAAAAAAATTTAGCAAAGACAGTTTAAGAATGTAAACAAAATGGTACAGTCAAATTTTCAATTTCACTTCTGGTTTAAACAGGGAAACGATGTTCACTTCCGGTTGAATATCTTCCGGTGTAATTTGTATAGGACAAAAAATTTTATGCTGATAGGAAGACAAAGTTATGACAAAAAAACGAAGAAAAAAAAACCGGAACAAACGTGAAACTTTGGCCACCATTTTGATTTTTCTGAAATGATTCGATTTTTATTCAGACATAATGGCTCATCCGATTTAAATGATTTTGGTGTCAAATGAAAGAAGATAAAAAAAAAACTTGACATTAGGAAGCCGTTTTTCGATTCTCAGTTTTGCTTTTTTGCAACATCCGGTTGAATTTTTTCAAAGTTTGAAGGGTCATATCTCATGATCTTGAACTTTGATGACCTTGACCTTCATAAGGTCAAAGGTCATTGACCTTGGCTATCAGTTAATTCTTTGACATTTGACCTCCTACATGTACTTCCGGTTTTATAGCTGTCCGAAAACAGCCAACTTCGCAACTTTGGACTGCTCACCTGCACGTGACCTAATTAACCTAGAGGGTTAATTTTTTCGGATTCTTAATGTGCTTTTCATGCTCTTTCAAGTGATTTATAACAATCGTTTTTTAAAGCAAAATTGAAATTAGTGAATTTTTCAAATTTGAGTTTTTTTTTTTTTTTACAATATTTCTGTTTCTTTGAGCTTGGTGTGTATATATCTTATGACCTATTTTATGTAGAACATTGAAACTTGGAACACAACAAGACAATTTGAATATAAATTAACCTATGACAAAAAGTTGAGGTGGGCGTGGCACAACCGGGTTGAATTACTAATTGTTTACATTTTGGGAAGGGGCATAACTCGCATAGGATACATTTGTTCAAAAAGGAACTTTGCACACAATTATTCTATTATTTTGACCAGTTTGTGTTAATAGGTCAATTGTTTCAGTTTTATAGTTCCAAAAAAGGAACGGGTTTTGAAATTTCCATATTTTCAATTTTCTATTTTGACCTTTATTGACTCTTGTTGACCTATATCTTTTGACCTGTATGATGTAGAAGCTTTAAATTTGGAACACAACAGAACATTCAAAATATCAATTAACCTATGCAAAAGAAATTGAGGTGGGCGTAGCACATCCGGGTTAAATTACTCATTATTGACAATTTTGGCAAGGGACATAACTCGCAACGTATACATTTGTTCAAAATGGAACTTTGCATACAATTACTTCATCCGTTGAGCCACGTTGTCTTAGAAGTTCGATTGTTTCAGTTTTATAGTTCAAAAAAAGGAACAGGTTTTGAAAATTTTCAATTTTCGACCTTGACCTTTTTTGACCCTGATTTTTGTAGGATCAAAGGTCATTTACATTGGCTATCTATTTATACTTTTATATTTGCTGTCCTATCTCAACTTCCGGTTTTATAGCCGTATATATTTAAAAATTTTGATGACTTGTATCTCGTAACCTTGACCTTTGTTGACCGTCTCCCTTTCAATGTCCAATGTCATTGACCTTTGCTATCTTCTGATACTTTCATTTGTGAAGTCTGTCTACTTCCGTTATAACAATCTTCCAAAGAATTCTCCTCAACTTTAGACTGCTCTTGCGCGTGATGTAATTATCGTAGAAGGTTGATTTTTTCAGAGTCTTTTGCATTTTGCTACATTTGCAAAGTCCCACTCTGTGCCACGTGTGGCTCTAGTTTTATTATTATTTTGGATTTGGTACTCGAATCACCTATTCTTATAGAAAAACACCTTAAATTAAATATTTTAATCACTAGAAAATAAATGCTTTCTTAGATTTTGTTGTCCTGGGCCTTATTTCAGACTAAGTTATGATTTTAAAGCAATACTATCTACCCCTTAGCATGATCACAAAATCAAAATTCTCAAACTTTGTAAATCAGTAAACTTATTCGTTGTCATTACTATACAATAGATTACCTGTATTTATGCAAAAAAAAAAAAAGCGTTTTTCAACAATAACCTGTAATTTTATGGAAACTGATTGGGGTTTATTGGTATATTGAATTCTGCTTCTATACTTTTGACACCATTGGCATTGATGAATATTAATTTCTATTCTTAACATGAATAGAAATCCTTTATTGAAAAGAAGGAGTTGTCTCCCGTTGTTTCTTGTCAGTAGAATGGTGGGCGGAGCTTGTGCACAGAAAAATTAAAGGTAAAGACATGAAAGTTTAACGTCGCTATAATTTTTGATGCTTGTTTTTTTACGCACTATTTCTTGGTTGAAAATCTAAATTAAGTCTTTGGGGCTTACTTGGGTCTTTTAATTGCATACTGTTGAGCTGTTATTTCGATGTAAAAAGGAATTTGACTTTTTTGTGCTGACCACGAGGTTTGGTAACGGGATTCCCCGTTTGTTATAGAAATTGGGCTTTCTACTAATTCTAGTTAATAATTTTTTCTTTTCCTTTTTATGCTTTAAATTATGATGGAGACAACTACTGTAAGACGCTCAGTAAGACCCAGTACGAGTCGTTTTGCTAGAAATGAAGTGGATGAATCTAGTCGAAGCACTGCAAGGCCTATTATTAATAGACAAAGTAATACGTCAGGGCTGTCCAGAATTCCAGTTTTGATAAGTAAACGATCTACTGATACTGAAAATAGCAGTCGAAAAACTACATCACCACAACTTGGTAGTGCAGCATCTAAAAGACCTTTGGTTCATCATGGAGCCATACCAGTATCTGTTGCTTAAAGATCAAGAACATCAGGTGGTACTAATACTAATACTTTTAATGATAATTTATCTATTCCACAAAATTATGATCATTCCAATGTAAGGACTATGAGCCATGGGACCACTGGCAATGCCATTGATAAAAATGAGACCTGTTTCCCAGTCTCTACTAATAATGAATTTCTTTCATGTACTGCAATAATTATGATGCTAATAGCAATATAGGAGGGGATTGTTCTCAGGAGCAAGTCATGAATGCTCCTCCCTGTTTTGTCACTAGTGATGTGGCACCTACTTTAATAACTAGTGTTCATGATAGTCTTGGAGTTAGGGTTTCACAGACAATAAGGAATAAGATAATTAGAGGTGAATACATTGAAATGAGTCTACTGCTAGAGAGTTCTAAGGGTAAGGAAACAAAAAAGACCCTTTACTTGAATGATGAGGGTGAAATTGTAACTAAGGACAAAAAGAAAGATTCAGTTAAGAATATTGAGGTCTGGACAGATGTATTTTTAGTATATAGTAGCCTTTCGGTTCATACACATCGTGCACAGGAAATGATTAAATACATGCATACTGTTAGATTGGCAGCTTCTTGAGGTCCAGGTTGGGTAACTTATGATGAACACTTCAGGACAAAGAGAAGTTTAGATCCATCCAGTTCAACAGTTGATTATGAGTTATGGTTATTTTG